TTGATGTTTGTTGTGTAGTTGCAGCTATATTCAAATCAAATAGCACTATTCAACGAAGTTATCTGGTGATCAGAAGAATGATTTATGTTCATTTTTCTAGTTTTCTGACATTATTTATAGAATTTATGAACCTCCGAAAGAGGTTAATTTGAATCATGGTTATATATCTGTAGTAATCTCTATGATGTGATTTACACCTTTGATTAAAATACTCGGACAGTTTGAAATACAAGTTTTTTTTAAGAAATAAAAAAAATTTAAGTAATCATCATGCTCTAAGTGGTCCTCATGTTTTATATTGCAATATCAGCAATACGTTGATACACTTACCACAAGAACTTGTAATATATGAAAACTTCTGAACTCGATGATTGTCTCGATCGGTGACAAAAATGTTACCATATCTGTCAAAAGCAAGTCTGACTGGTTCATTTAGTTGGGTCGATAGTAATCCTTTGTCTCTAGAACATCCAACTAAACAACGTAACCCGCTTCGTCCTAGGCCAACAATACGCTGATTGTTGGAGTCCACAATAAATAGATTCCTATCAGCATCGAGTACAACACCTTGTGGACAAGAGAGTGGGGATAGTGATGGTACTTGGTCTCCGACTACTGTTATACCATTCAATAGTTCAGATCGAAAGCGTTGGATTCTATTATTTTTGCAATCTGCCACGTACAATTCGAAATCAATGTCAACGAAGATTCCATAAGGTTTGTTAAGCATATTTGACGCTGATCCAGGTCTACCGGTGCCTGCGACAATTTTTGGAGTTTTTGAACCATTGTGTATAGACTGTTTGATGACTTTATGATATTCGAATAGAGAACAGTAGAGGTCATTGTTTACATCGACGAATAGCCCAGAACATGTTCCAGGGGTATCCATTACTGGAGCCTTCTTAGTCAAATTTGGCGTCCACTTGGAAACTTTCTTATTATTGTCACTATTCAAATAAATATCACGGTTGATTGTGACGAATATACCTGATGGTCCACTCAATCCTGTTGAGATAGTTTTTGTCGGCTTAATACTTCCTTCAGGCCATACCGTCACTGTATTGGAGCCGACAGAAGTCACATAAACAGTGTTGTTGATATCAATAAAAATGCCAATAGGTACTTGGCCAATCACGCTAGGATTGGCAAATGTGGCAGCACTTTTATTCCACGATGCATTCTGACAGAAGGTCGGTCGATTGTAAGAAACTTCTAGAATGAAAAGATAACATTAAGTAAAGGTATCCAAAAACGTAAGAAATTTTTTCAGTATCCTCTTCATTTTGATGAAAAGCGGCGTAAAGTTTCTAATAATATTGACAAGAAAAATTGTATCGTGGGTTCAGTCACAAAAAATGGTACAACCGATTACAAAAATTGATGCTGTGTTGATGAGTAAGGAATAATCCATGGTTGACTTTTATTTTGAAGTCTCTGACCAATTTATTTTTGTTGTTAATTCATGTCGGTGCTAACGTCAAGTTCAAAAGATTATTGTTTGATAGACTAGTAACTCGCGATTTCCTATTTTTCTGTAGATATTAATCGATTTATGTGAACATGTTCTCATCAAGAACGAAATTCAAAGTAAAGGAATACATAGAGAATATTTTGCGCTATATGTTCATGAACTTGGCAAAGTTTTCGGTGCAATATGAAAACTTCAATTTCATTCATATAAACTTGTTTTAAGAGATATACCCATGTAGCCAATTATGTAAAATAATGAACATTATTTTACATTATTTTTAATAAATAATGTATGCAATGTAATTATAATGCAACCTATTTCATGTATTTCAATGCATTATTTGGAAAATAATGCATTGAAATGCACTGATTTTCAATGAATTATTGAAAATTTTACCATTATTTCTTTCTAATTCATTATAATGCATGAAAACTTTGAGAAAAAAATGTGTTTCAATTAATTGACAATCTCCATGACTCCAATGCATTTTAATACATTTTTTCGCAATTTTGTCATGCATTATAATGAATTGCAAAGAAATAATGGTAAAAGTTTCAGTAATTCATTGAAAATCAATGCATTTCAATACATTATTTGGAAAATAATGCATTGAAATACATGAAATAGGTTGCATTATAATTACATTGCATATATTATTTATTAAAAATAATGTAAAATAATGTCCATTATTTTACATTATTGGCTACATGGGTAGTGGCATGTAGACTTTAATTCTGAATACAATAGTGTAAGTATCCCTTTAACACTCGATACATCAGAGATCTTTGAAATCATCAAAAAAAAGAACTGCTTGCGTAAATCCAAAACCGACGTTTTTATCTGTTTTCATCTGTTTTCATCTCACAATGGCTATTTCTGAAAATTAAACTGATTAGTTTTTTAAAAGATCGCCATTTGTTTTCAGCGTTTTTTTACTGCCGCCATTACGATATGCATGGTTTAAATATTTTTCTATCAAGTAGCAACATATTTCAGTTAATATTTTGAAGTAGGTTTTCTTTTTAGTGTAATTTGACAAATTTTAATTATTCTTTATTAAAGAAAAAGTTCTGTATTAAATGGATATGGAGACGTTTTGTTTTTTCGTGAGAGTTGATTGATAAACACTTACGTGAACAATGGTAGAGATCCATCCACATAAAGATCATGATTAGAATCATTAATTTTGACATGTGAAAATTAATTCTGTGCAAACTACAATCAAGTTCTCACTAATAATATGAAAAGAATTGATGTGAGAAAAATATATATACCTTGCAAATATATAAATACAGAAAAAAACAGGCAGCTAATTAATTAAATATAACATGTCTTATTTCTTCCGCTCAAACGATCGTTCTAATAACATTAGAAGCAATAGAAGCCACGTTGATCATTCCACTAAATTTTCAAACTCATTATTCCCTATGAATACAATTTATATTGTAAAATATTCATAATATTATCATTAATTTACTTTTGTTCTGAAAATGCCGAACAAAAAAATGATTAGCGTCTTAATTCAAATATCAATTATTCACTCATGATAAAATTCATCCGCAATCTACGGATTTCTGTAATTTCAAAATTGAATTCAAAGATACCTATTCGAAAAATATTCACAAGCCTTTTTAATCTTTTGATGTTTGAAGCTGATGAAAAAAAAGAATTCTTGGTGCTATCGATCATTATTAGTTTTATTTCAATTAAATAAAGCAATAGATATTAACTCTGTCTTCATGTTGAATAATGTTTTGATGAAATCTAGAAAAAACGTGACAAACAAATATATGTATATGCAAAATTAATTCTTGTCTGGATAAATGACGACGAAAAATTTGTTTTGTTTGCTGTTTTGTTAATGATATCAGATTACATTTGGTCATGCATTTGTGTCATTTTCTTATTTAATCTATCGAACAAAAAACATGATTTTCTTCATTTGATGATTTTTGACAGAAGTTTTTCAATATTGACAATACAATATTGAACGTTTTATTTTTTGCTGTCTATCATAAAAATAAAGACCAAAATGTTATGAGAAAAACATCATTAATATAGGTTGCATTTGACTTTCATCATATATAATATTGATTGAAGAAATGATAATAGAAAAATGGGTTTCAATGTTCATTTTATGATTACAGTGAACAAGAACTTTTTATTTTTTATAACTTTTGTGTCATAAACTTAATTCAATTGAGTTATGTATTTCAATTGTAGATATTGAAATTCGGTAAAGACTCTAGAAATCTTTGGGGTAGTCTAAAATATATTTACAGGATGTTTCTAAAGTCAGTTAAAATACAAAATAGAAAATAGCTCTTCAACGATTTAAGTAATTGTATGAGTTTCCGATAACTTAATTTGTTGTCTCTATTAGTTTTATTCAACTTAGTTGAGATTTAGTGGATATGTCTGTGAAGAATACAATCACGACTTGATGAAGAAACAGTAAACGAAGATGGCATTAAAGAGGTCTCTCCAAGATTTTATGAAACTATTACTTGCGTAGGCCAGCTAGAGTAGGTGTGAGCGAAGAGAAGATTCACATTCGTACCCTAGCCAAAATGTTTTTCCTTGAAAAAGTAACACACTATACATTATTCATTGCAGTTTTTTGCTCAGATTCAGAATATGTCATCGAAATTGTTTAAAAAAGCTGTCAAAGCCAGAAAGTCTAAGGTTTGGAGAACCTTGAACTCAGTCCATTAGCATTTACGCATCTGAATGCTTACTCGAAAGACGTACCAAAGAAAAAAACATTCTGTGAAAGTTTTATCTAGTTCGAAGCTGTGCTAAAATGTGCGCACCAACTAAATTGAACATATCTCTTTGCAAAATATCTTTTCATTGAGAAGAAATGACAGAGCGCGAGCTCTACTTTTAGAATGTACGTGATTGAATCCTTAAGATTTTTCTACTAGCTTTGGGAAAAGATAGCTTTCTTTTGGAATAACAATAAGCTGACCATTTTTTGGATCTAAAATTTTTCAATACCTTCAAAAGTTAGAATAATTTCTTTATTCCAATAAGTCGACCATTGAATAAAGTATATTGCACATAATTCGAATCACGAAAACTATTATTTTCATTGTTGATCCATCGAATGCTACTCTGAGAGTAAGAGCCATTTATAACTTGATTCGTATAAGGTTGTTGTCAAGGTTACTTAACAGAGGCACATGATGCGATAGTTACTAAACTAAGAATATCAAAAGTATTGTTAGGTTTCTGACTCAGAAATTTTAAAATTGACAAGTTATGATCTAGAGAAGCTAATGCCAACATGGGTCATTCGTCGGAACCGAATGAAGTTTTTTCAGGGATTAAAACATTGTTTTTAACTTATTATGATTTGATCCGAGTCGAACTCTGATATCTGCTGCCCAATGTCTATTGAAAAAGAAAACTATTTGTAATAATTACGATCGCTTTATTTCATCATATCACAATTAAATAAAGGTATTTTACAAAACAAAAAATAAACAAAACAAGATCTGACAAGTATTAACTGATATAATGATTATTGTTGTTTAGGTTGTAATTTCGGATAAGAATTTAATAAATGTAACATATGAATTTGTTGTAAAACTTTGTTAGGCGATGTTGTTGTTCGAGAATTTGATGATGTGCCTTCAACAACAACATAAACAGTTGATGAAGAAATATCATCATTTGTATCAATTCTTGGAGCTGTTGTTGATGATGATAATGTTGATGAAATAAGAGAATTATTTGTACGTTTTAATAACTGTCTCGATCGTTTATAAGACTAAAACACAATTATTTCTTTTTCAAAAGAACAAAATAAATAAAGTTTTATCTTACAAGTCGAAACCAAGAAGGAAAAACAACATTCACTTTTTCAATAAGACCATTCGGATAAATTTGTTTGATATCAAATCCATTTGGAACATGATACCATGGATTTAAAGAAATATCAGGTACAGAACCATAAGTAAAAAAGGCTTTAACTGGATTTTGTTTTCCACGTCGTACTCTAGCATATCGAAGACTATTAAGACGATCATTAATAGCCTTTTCATTATGACCAATAATTAACATTTTTGCATCATTTTGTTCAAGACCAAGTGCCATTAAACTAAATTTTAGAACGATATTATTTTTTCTTGAGAAAGAAATCAAATGAAATAAAACAAACCAATCTTCACCGGATACAAAATTTCGTGATGTTTTATCATTTAAAAATGTTTGAATATTTGAATTCGATGAAGATAAGAAACAAGTTGGTAATAATGAATCATGTACAAAAGCTGAACTTTTACAAAATGTATCCATTAAATAAAATGATAAATGATTACCTAAAGAAAATTGAGTTTTTAATAAGAATGTATTGTTTCAATAATAGAAATTCAAAAAACAAAAAATACCAAAAGCTTTTCTTCGACTAGGTGGTGGTGCAGTTTCAAGTAGATGTTGTGCTTCAGTTAATAAAGGTATATCTAAGATGGAATTTGATTGTTTATCACGAAAATAAATCAGATCTGTCTATAAAACAAAAAGAAAAAGAAAAATATCAATTTTAGTTTTGCTTTTTCGTTGAAAAGAAATTTACAAAAAGTTGTTGAGCGGATTGATCATCGAATAATAATGAATTGGTCTCACGTCTTAATAAAATATATTGAGTTAGTAATTGAACATACTATGAATAAAACTACGATTAATAACAAAATGATTAAAAAAAAGAAAACTTTACCGCTGTTAATTGATATTGTAGAACATCACGTTGTTCGGATGTTATATGATGCTCAAATGTTTTTGTTATTGTAGAACAAGTTGTATTCGATGAAACAGATTCAGGATTAATAAATTCATCACTATGAAAATAAATCATCAGCTTTTCTTTTTTGTTTAGAAATCGTATTATGCATTCAACAAAATCAAAGATAGAAATGGTAACAAACATAATTTCAAAGATAATATCAGTGCTGACAATCGTGAAAAAATTCAAATCAATTTGATATCTAATTACCTACATATGAAATCATACTATTTTTTTGTGAAACATGATCTAAAAGGAGTTTTGTAGTATAAAAGTATTATTTTGAATTCTCTCGTTTTGTACAACTGTAAAACAGTCCTGACAACACATCATTAAGGATGTACAGTTTCAGGATGTAACCTGAAAGATTCAGCCCTTAATCTTTGTTTCACCAAGTTAATATATGAAAACTCGATAGTGATTCGGTAGAGAACTGTTTAGATGAAAACATTTCCATGCAAGATTTTTCTCTGATTATGCTCAAACATTTTTAAAAGTTAAGTTTAAATGCTATTAGAGAGGAGTGAGGAAATACGAAATTCTTCTTAAAACTCAATGAGAAGTCCAAAAACTAATTCTAAATGATACAAATCGTTCTTGAAATGAGAAAAAACAATAAATATTCTCATTCTAAGACATGAGCAGATCTTTAGAAAACTGTTTATGATGAAGAAATTTTTTTACAATTGAATCTTTATGAAAATTTCACCATATACATAATCTGTGTAGTAAATTGTTGTATTATTAATGTAAAATAGCTATATTGTCTTTCGTAATTTAAATATCATAGTAGTTATATTATAAGTGTTTCTTTTTATACCTATTTTGAAATTCTTCATGATTTAATATCGAAGCATTATCTTGTAAAAGTAAAGCTAATTCACGTTCTTTAAAAAAGAAAATAAATAAATAAAAATTTTCAAATAAATAAAAATTTACTTGAAACATGTAATTCATCTTCTAAATCATCATCAATATCATTTTCAGTATCTGCAAGTCGAAATTCTGGATCATCATCATTATCATCTTCTTCTGTTATTGTTGTTATTATAGATTTCTGTTGTTCATCCTGTTGTTGATCATTTCCTGTTTGAAGTGAAGCTAAAAATTCTGTCCATAAAGATTCGTATTGATCACTACGAAGAATTTCTTCATCACGAAAAGAACTAATGTAAAAAAAAACCAATTTAATATTCATTATATAAAAAATTTTTAAAATTAATCAAAAACTTACGCATGATCATCTGGTGATGGTGCACTATCTTTTAATAATGAAGCTAATTCACGTTCTAAAAAATAAATTAATATAAATTTTTGAAATTTTTCTTCCGCTCGATTGAACATACTAGATACACGTAGTTTTCGTTCATCGACAGTTTCAATATTATTTTCATCATCAGGTCCAATAAATTCTTCATCATCATCATCTTCACTAAATAATGAATCAAATGGCACATTGGATTGTGTTGTATTTTGTTGTATATTTGAATTATTATCAACTGTATTAAGTGATTGAAGAAATTCAAGCCAAAGTGGATCATATTCATCAACCATTGTTGTTAATAAAAGATTTTGTTGTTGTTGATCTGATGAAAACACATGTGAAGAATTTATTTGAGATGATGTATCAAAATAATTCGATGAAGAAAGAAGAGATTCATCAGATGTTGTTATTGAGATCGTCTATGAAAAGAATAGTCAATGATAATGAACAATATCTATATAATATTTACGTTATTAACTGAATATGATTCATCTTGAATTATTCGTGTTCGAAGATAATCGACTACTGTCGATTCATTTAAAAGATCCTAGAATAGATATTCATTAAATAATTGGTTTTCATTAGGAATAAGTTCGATAACATGCTACTTTTTCTATAAAGTATTTATTTGATTATTTTTGAAACATGATGAGCAACTTTTTTTTCATGAATAATCATCTACAATCTTCATATATTAACTAGAGTTTTTGAACTATGAAAAAAAATGCCAATTCCTCCTACAATAACTTTTAACTCGAGTTGAAGATCGATAACTGTTGTCTTATTATCTATGACTTTAAATTAAAAGCTCTCGCTATATAATCATTCTTAGATTATTCATCACTTTCGTTTTTACATTAGGATAGCAAAATTATGCTTAAAACTAACTACATATATATTTATCAAACCTACCGAGATAATACGTTTGACAGTATCACTCGGTACACGATGTCTTTTCGCCACTTGTTCAATTTGATCATCAATCGGTGTTGTTAAATTATCATTGGGTGATTTAGATCGTCTTCTTGTTGTTGGATATTCAGATACATCATCAGAACCTGATAGTAATCTTAATATCGAAACATTGTTGCAAAAAAAAAGAAGAAACAAGCAATCAAATAATTCTAATCATACCGTTTTGGTGTATTCATTATCTCTTAATCTACGACAAAATTTAAATGCATCATAAAATTTTCTTTTTCTTTCTTTGTCATAACAAATACATACAACATTTTTAACACATCAAAAAAAAAAAAAAAAAGAAGTAAATAAAAATAATAAGACACTTTTTGTTTTCTTTTTCATGCAAAAAATCAAATTCCAGAATGTTTCATCGGAAAAAAGAATGCCATCAAATTTGAATGTCCTCAATCATTCTTATGTATACGTACAAACAACAACAAAAAATGAAAAAAAAAAGACACGTCTTCATTCCGAATGATTGAGTTAGTTTATAGTGAACCACCAACCTAAAGCAAAAAATAAATAAATTATTGAATTAAATATTAAACATACTTGTTCTTGATACACATCAATTGTATCATTATCTTCCATTTCTAAAAGTTTTGGTGTTTCATCATCATTTATTCGTTTACCATCGAAGAGAAATCTAAAAATAAAATTTTAGATATATAAAAAAATTCGATAAATAAATAAAATTTACCGCAAACTATTAACAGCAACTCCTAAAACAATCGAAAAATAAATAAAGAAAAATAATTAAATTGATTTCTTACCTTGACGTTCAGCATAAGATTTTTTAAGTTTACCCATTGATGTTGTCATTTTAACTTTAAAATGAACTTCACCTTATAATAACAAATAAGAAAATTACAAGTAAAATTTTAAAATCAAATATCAAAAACTAACTATTATCTTGACCAACAACTCTTAGTTTAATATATTCATCATTTTTACTTGCATTATTACTAGTGGCACCATCAGTCGATGACATCTTTTTTGATTTTCTAAAATGAATTTTTTTGATTAATAAGTCTTATGATATCGTAGATAAAAAAGTGATGGTGGAGGTTTAACATTATTCAAGAGAAAGAGCAATCGAATAATCTAGAAAATGATAATGATTGGTCATTATAGGAAAACACTTTTACACACTAATGCATTGATCAATGAAAGCAATGCTACAAACAATGCGAAATATGATGAAAGATGACGCTCAAATCGTTAAACAAGAATGTATCTCCTTTAGCAAACAACTACAGAGTACGTGATCTGACCATCATATAAATAAAGCGTAGTGAGAAATGCAAATCAAGGTCGAATGCACTTGAAGAGGTGACATCTAGGTTTGATAGAAACGTCAGGCATAGAAATCGGAAGAAACCTATATAAAATCAGGCGCCACATTAACTAAAACATTTTATTTTTAGAAAAAATGAGTTTGAAACATATGATGGCGATATACTACACTATTGTTTTAACATGAATACCTTAACAGATTTCGCTTCAAATCAACACAAACGTGAGATATCGCTGAAGTCAACTCTTTAATAATAGTTGATCAGAAGAATTTGATGACATAAACAATCTATATAACTGATTTATGTCAAGTACTATATCTAGCAGTTTTTCAAAATGAGTTTCATTCTAAGCGCATTAATAGATATTCAGTTCGAGATAGATTCGATGACTCATATATTGTTTTATCAATGACTAAATTTGTGCAACTGATGACGTAATCAGAAAAAAGTTGTGAGGTAAAGAATGAAGCTTCGCTGGTAATTGTTTTGGATAAGAAGACTCAAGCCTTTTTCTAAGCGAAACTCAATCGCTGCTACGGTGAAATAGAGATTGAGACTCTTATAATACCCGCCTGGCTACGACTCCAGATGAAATTTTACTTACATTTGGAAAATCGATTTGATAACTTTGTTAAAAACAAAAGGAATGGAAACTCTTCTAATACGCTTTTTCATTTTGTATTATTTAGGATTAAGGAATAATCTTATTTCTATATAGAAATTATATTGTTTGTTATGATCTTACAAGAACTATCATAGTACTAAAAATGCAATTAAATACTATGAAAGAAAGGAAGTTATTAGAATTCACATGCAATGGGACAACAAAGTTGTCATAATGACCTCAATCCATGCAGAGCTTACTTAGTCTGTTGTAAAACATCGATAATGACAATAGATTGGATTTGCTGATTAAAAAAATGTCAACCTAATGCAGTTTGTATTTTGTATGTTTGATCAATGATCCGTGACTTTTATTCAATATGTTGGCAAATAATTGTTAATCATATTGTTTTTTTTATCAAACCATAACACAGAAATTTGTATTAATCACTTTAAGTTAGTTTGAGAAATATTCGAGAAGAAATCCATTAATTAAATGATCGTTTGTATCACAGTTTTTTGATTACGACTAAAATGTTAATGAAGATCGATACGAGTAATTTGAGCCAATCAAATCATTGTGCTTAATTATTCATCTTTTACACGATTACTGACAGTTTGTTTAGTTTCATTAGATCATTTCACAATTATATATTTACTTCGTGACTTAAAGATTATTATCTATGTCAAGATATTTACATCATAGTTTACAGAAAAAGAACAATTATTGTTCTATCAATATTATTAGTCATGTTTTTCTAAGCACATGACTTTGAAATATTTCATATCAATGCAAAAGAATAATTACTTAACGACTCATATTTCTGTAGTAATTTGTAAAATAATTTGTCTGTCATATTTAAAAACAAGATCCTACAGACGAAGTACAATTGAAATGATATCTTATCTTACATTGCATATAATTATTGCTGTCAAAATAGAATATTAAATTTGTTTTGTAGAAAAAGAATCATTTTTCATTAATAAATATAGGAAGATAAAAGAGTAATATGAATACCTGTAATGAAAAATATATGAACATGTGTTATTTTACAAGTGAAAAATACAATAAAACAGTTGAAATATTTATCACATTATGAATTTTATTAAAAAAAAACCTAGTTGCCTGATTTACAGAACAAGAAAAGTTCTATTTTATCCATATTAATCAAATCCCCAGTGCACTCAGAAATTCTAATTTGTTGTCCAGGCTAATGGATTTCAAGTTTTATACATGGAGGAGTAGTCCAAAGTGTTTGCTTCAAAGTTCTTTTAGCTGCAATATATAGATTTGTAAAATAGAAAATATGACAAGTGTATATTGACGAACATGTGCTATCAAACATTGCACATCTTTCAAAGAAATCTTCTCTTGGAATCTTATTACGATAGAAAAGATGATGTTCATCGTCAAAAAATTCTTTTCACAGTTTTCTAGATAATTTCATATGCTAAAGAGTTCGAACTGGTTTAAAATTAAAAATAACTCTGGACTCTATAACTTAAAAATCTGATTTTCTTTCAGTTTCGACTTAGTTCTGGAAAAAAAAACAGTAAATAAATATTTTCGGTATGAATACCTTCATGTAGTTGCACTTTTTAAGGAAAGCTATCGTCAGGTTATAAAAAAAGAACATTCTTGAAAACTTAGACGTTGTTAAGTTATGGCCACAAGCCATAATTATAATTTAGCAGAAACTCAAAATTTTGTATCATTAGATTTAGAAAAGACATACTTAAAACACAGAAACCTACTTTACAACCATTGTTATGATAATAGCTCTTGAACAGTACAATATTTTATGCTAAAATTTTTGCTGTGAACTATGCACATCAGACATATACAAAGTGTTTTATAAGTTTTGAGGTTCGAGAAAACTGATTATATTCAGAAAATAAATTTTTGACTTAATCATTACATTTTTGTTGTGCACCACTTTTTATTAATTTTTTACAATCATTACAAATTGATTTTTTTCTGTACTTTTTTCTTCTATATTCTTTCACTAGGTCATACATATCAGCAACTCTAGCTTCATCTTTTTTGCGATAGAACTTGATAATTATATAAGTTCGTAAATAGTTCAAAATACTATCTTTGTTATGTTTTCTGTTCTGTACGTGACATTTTTATATATTTTATCTATTTCAATCCGGTTAATGAGTATATAGCTTGCCTGAACACGTAACTAGTGCTTCGTGATTATTATCGAGTAAACGAATAAGATAAATAATTATTTGTTTCTACTATTCTGTTTTTTTTTATGTAGAATATTTTCAACACTGTATTACAAAGTCACATCAATATATTGCAAAGAATTTATCGACATATTCTCGTGTTATTATGACAAAAGAAGATATTATTCACTAATATGTCATTCAAAAAGATTGACATGAATATTCAAGAATGATATAAAAACGTTCGATTAGGATTTAATCTCTATCTGCATATAAACTAGTTTTGTTGCATCGCAACACTTATGAAATATTATGTATATTCGTTAAAAAATTTTAGCCAGATATTTTATTCTGGTATAAAAATAGACTTCTGAATGATCGGAGAACGAAGAAAATGTTAATTAAATTTAATTGAACTATCATGCATTGCTTAATAACATCATTTGTTTTATTAAACAGATTTTTCTCTATTCACTTCACAATAAGCAGAAAGTAGATCAATGTTCGTTTATACTCTAATTTGACCTATTTATCAAAATGTATCGTTATAGTTTTATTTATTTTCAAAACATTTAAGAAATTATATCAGAATTTGTACGCTCTATTTAGTTTTCAATGTTTCATATCTTTCTTTTTCGTAATTAAATCTATATTAGTTGAAAAATCTGTTGGCTTCTTTTTTTCATACTGTTAGCAGTAAAATTCTATATTTACTATTCAGAAGATGTCAATTATATACATATTATGACTATAGTCAATTATATATAATAGTGCATGATATTGCATGATGAAATATAGAAAAAGATAAAGTTCTTTTGACGCATTAGTTTTAGTATTAATGTCACTATTTTCGTGTGTTTAGTTTTTTTTTTATTTATGAGAATCATTTTTTTGAATCAACGCATAAATTTTTTATTATCTATTCCATCTGCTATTAGTCAAATGGTTTTTCTCTTTTTTTTTTTTAGAAGAAAAATATCGACCTACGTAGTTAGCGCAAAATAAACGAGTCAGTAAAGAATGCGTTGAATTCTCATCACAATGAATGTCAAAATGACGTCTTTCTTCTTTTTATTGTTGCTTTTGTGTTTCTCTCGTCTTTTTTTTTTATTATTTTGTTATATCAAATTATCGCCTGAACACCCACGATGTTAGCATTTGAAGAAAAGAGAAAAGAGATCTTATTATTTCTCTAGATTCATAAGCTTGACAACACATACACATACAATTTGTTCTATAGCGATTCAATAATGCAGTTCATTCCTTTCTATATTTTTGCTATTATTTGTGGCTATTATTCATTGGTAATTTCAGCTCCTATTAATCAAAGTAGTACTAACGAAATTATTTTATAAATAAAAGAAAAATATTAATATTTATTTCTTCTAGATGCTCAAGAAACAAAACATCAAAAAGCAACAGCTATTGCAAGTCGTCTTTTAAAAGAATTAGCCAATGAGGAACTTACAAATCAATATTCAAAAGAAGATCTACAACAAATTGAATCATATCTTGACAAAGAATTAAACAATAATGAAGAATATACTGAATATATACCAACAATCGATGATTTATATTCAATTTATGATAATATAAACGACGAAGAACTTTCATCAGAAATAAATGACAGTGATGACATTCTTTCAATAGATGACCAAGAATTAATGAATTATTTAAAAAAACAACAACAACGTATGTTTTTATAATAATTTCTTTTTATAACTAAATCTTTAATCTTCTTATTTTAGTTGACAAAGATTTATCACCAGTGAAACAAACGGCAATAATCGATGATAGTATTATGAAAGCAGAAAATCATTAACAATAATATTTTATTATTCATGACAAAACAAAACGAGAAAAATCAAGCATGAGTGATTATTTTTCAAAAATACATATATAAATATATTTCTACTTAATTATTGTACATATCTATTTATGTTGTATTTGTGCGTAAATATATTCGTTAAAAAAATTATTGACAAACAAAAATAAGAATGTTTTTTTTTTAAAATTTACTTTGTTGTTTAAACTTATTCTCCATCACGACTACTTCGATAAACACGAAGAATATCTTCAACTGGTGCACGACATATAGGACATTTAACAGCATTTACTGTTGTACCTTGTTGAAGTTGTAATCCACACATATAACAAACACAAAGATGACCACAACGATAAAGAACTGTATCAGCAATAGCACTTAAACAAACAGTACAATGACCAGCTTGTACTGGTTGATTTGGTGAATTCATGGTTGTTGTAGAACTATTTGCTAAAGCACTAGCTACATCTTGACGTAATGATCGTTGCATGTCCATTTGCATTCTATACATAAGTTGAAGCATTTGTTGCATTGTATCAATGCGTGCTGATAATGCGTCAATACTCGAAGCAGGCTATTTTATATACAATAAGAATTTCAAAAAAAACCAAACAGAATTTTTGTATTTAAAGAAAACACTTACGGCATGAACATTGGCTCGTGGTAACTGAGGAGGAACTGGTGGTATTGCGGCCGTAGGTGCTACGTGTTGTTGTTGTTGCTGTTGTTGTTCAGCAGGTGCTCCGCGTTCCAAACGATTCTATATGTATATAGAAAACATGCTTTAATTTTGATTATTAAATAGATATAAATATCTTACTAAAACGTTTTGTTCAAGATGGCTACGAAAATCACTTTCTAGAGCACTTGTTACTAATTGTCTATGGACAAGATCACTAATTTCTAAGACAATTATTTCACGTTGTAGTTGTGTTATTGCTTGCCATGCTTGGAATTCACGTTCTTGTCTATTAAAATTAATTTATTTCATAGATTGACAGATGATTTGAAATACAAAATACCTTTCAACATTGGAAGGTGCACGTGGTGGTTGTTGTTCAATAGGAATTTGAGGTACTGTTTGAGTGATCTGTGGACGTTGTTGTTCAATAGGGATTTGAGGTACTGTTTGAGTGATCTGTGGACGTTGTTGTTCGACAACATTAGCTGGAGGTAAAACTTGTGGTACACTTGGTGCTTGACGAATTTGCTGTATTGGTGCTACTGGTCGAATACCAATTGTATGACGAATAGTATTTTCTAGATCTTGTCGAAAAGCAGCACTACCTAATGCTGCTGATACACATCGACGATTGGTTAATGCATCAATATCAGCTATATGAGCACTAGGTGGTGCTGGTCGTGTTGATGGAACCCTTATTTCTTGTTGATGTTCATGAATATTATTAAGAAATGTTTCAATTCTTTCACGATTATGTTGTCCTGTTACGGGTCGTTCTCCTAAGCGTAAACGACGTAATTCAAACATGACTTCAGTGCGTTGTCGTTCAATAAATCTTGTAAATGCATCAGCTTCAACTTCAAGTGCTGCACAAGCTACATCTTCTTCACTTCTTGCACTTGAACTACATTCAGATTCATAACCATTTTCATCAATAGTGGTTGTTATAGATTCATCTGTATAGATCAATATATAAAACATCATGAAAACATAATTTTTTTTATTCACTACCTTTACTAGCAACTACTGCTTCTGTATCTTCTCCACCAGTTGCCATATTCAAATCTGTCGAAGTATTATATTCGTCCGTCATTTATTTACGATTTTTTTTAAATTAAAAAACTAATGCTATTGTTTTTTTTTGTGCACACACAGACTGCCAAAGAAGAACGGAAAAGCAGTTATTTATTTGTTAGGTATTGCACAACTCTTAACTCATAAACTTGATGAATCACTCATCAAATTTGGTTGTTATTTATTTCTTCTTTTGTTTTTTTTGTTACATATGAAAAGGCGTCAATATATGGATATGACTCACATGCTGACTTTCAACCATCAAAGCAAATAAGTCAAGAACGCACAACGTCTAAGTTTTCATGTATATTGAAGATATGACTCAATATAAAAAGGCGTCTTGTAAAAAAAGTTATGATTCAGTTTATACGTATGCAGATTATACAATTAAAAATAAGTTAAAATGACGTTCTCATAAATATTCTTAAGTAAATAATGGTTGTTAAGGAAGAATTATTTGACTTAACATGAGTTTAATATAAGAACTTATTTTTCTCAAAGTAGCAAACGTAATACGAAACTTGTACGATATAGATTCTTTTAAAAATTATCGTGTCATCGATTAGTCATAGGCTAAAAGTAAATTCAATGAAATATTATCGATTTTTTATTATCAAAATAATTATGTTCAAGAGAAAAAAAGTGGTTAGTTCATTTAATCTTTTGTTTTAATGCTTAATATTACGAGAACAACAACTTATAACATTTGAATTATGAAAGATTCAGATAGATTTTTTTTTCTCAAATCAAACTATTTTTATTGATGTCAATGAAAATTTCTATGAGGAACTACGCATTAGAATATTTATATTAGATGAATATTCATCAAAAATACACTTAATATATATTTTCAACTTACTTCCTAATCAAAATTTATGATCGAAACAAAACGAAATGATTGTTCGTCATTGTAACTTATCATACATTCGTTTTGTCTTATACTTTATCTTTTACAGAGACATTAAAGGTAACAAAGCATATCTATTGTGGGGAGGTAAAGTACATATACATTTGTTGTATAATTTCAATGTTTGACGAACATTGAATTAGTGTAAAAAGTTAATATAGAGTTTGGATAGTGAAGAAAAAGCTTTTAGAACAATTCCTATGGGATTACATAATTAAACACAATGGAGTTACTATAACCATTATGAAAAATCTCATAATTTATGTGACAGCTGATGACGGACCAAAAACTAGGCAGTCAAAAACCTTGCTAGGCTGTTATTGATTGTAACCAACGTATCAGCATGTCTATCATAACCTATCAGTAGGTTGAAAATAACATCAGTATATTTGTCACGATCTTTGGAAGAGACTGGAGATAGATTGATTCAATTTTCTTGCCATATACCTCAACACTCATTAATACTCATGTTTCACAAAAGCACTATAATCGTATTATTGGATGAAAACAGTGGAAAAAATCTGTCGATTGCAACCCTAAAGTAGATATTGACAAAGAAAAATTCATACTTACGGACAAAATACTTTAAATTAATGGTAAAGTAAAAAGTGGAGAAAAAAAAATTCTAATTCGTACGAGGCATTATTAAATTTATATAAGATGTATCAATCATGGATCAAATTCTATGACGAAAACGTATTTATCAATTAACTAAAAGTTCATCGAACATATCGGTTATTCTCAAAATATCTATATTGATTAAAAATATTCCATTCATCTAGTAAAATATATGGACATATCTTTTATTGATATTTAGTGTTTGTTTATAATCCTTCTTAATCTTTCTGTTCCAGTATCAATGAAAATCTACAATGGCCAAAGGGGTTACCGGAAGATCGCCAATTCGGACTTTCGCCAATAGGACATTCGCCAATGGCGAAAGTACAGGGATGTGCTGGCGAAGGTACGGTGGACTTTCGCCAATTGACGAAATTCCAAGGTATGTATTGGCGAAAGTACAGCGGACGTTCGCCAATTGACGAAAGTATAGTGGAGTTTTGTCAGCCGTCACAAAATAATATTAATACAGGATACATGTAAGGGCCAAAGCTAATACTGTTAGAATATATACTATAGCTTACGATTAGAGTATATTCATATACGAGGGAGTCATGTTTTTAATAAGAAAAAAGCGAGATTAATATAAGAAAAAGGCAAATAAAGCATAACCTAATGTTCATCTGATGATGCACCTGATAAGTCTGATTTCGAAACATTAATTTTTTTTCTTTCCCTTTCGTCCACGAAAAAACAGGTTCACCAACAAGATGAGAAAGAGACTTGATTGTATTAGCTAATGATCTTATATTTCACGCTAACAAGGGGCGGCATAATTATTATCTAAAATGCCATAAAAAATATATGACTACAACATACACAAACGTAACTTATTAATATAGTCGATGCACATTTTCTAATTCACGTCTAATTAGCACTTAAATTGACGAAAATCTCCTATACTTTCGCCAACTGGCGAAACTCCATGAAGTGTGTTGGCGAAAGTACAGTGGACATTCGCCAATTGGCGATATTCCAGTGTGTCTATTGGCGAAAGTATAGTGGAGTTTCGCCATTGGCGAAAGTGCTATTTGGCGAAAGTTTTATTGGCGAAGATCCGGAATCCCGGCCAAAGATGAACAAGAGTTTAATATTTATTGTTATTAAACAACAAAGAATAAGATTATTTCATAAATCTATTTCATAAAAAACAATAAAAAGAAATCAAATTGATCATAGAAAATTTTCAATTGTTATCAATATCATAGCATTATAGAAATCAAACATAATTTATTCAACTCGACCAAAAAGACGTATTCGAGAAAGACCACCATCAGGAATAATATTAACTCGTACATGGGTAATGGGACCAAGATCATTTATTTGATCTTTTTCAAATGTATGGATAGCATCCATTGTTAATTTCTGTTCAGGCAATAATGTTTCCCAAAATAATGATTGATTGACTAATGATTTACTATTACTCAGAGTCGTATCAGCTGCTTGAATCATACATCGATCAGGATAATTGCCTTTATAATGAGCCGTATCAACAATAATACGAGATATTCTTCCACGTCTACCTAAAGCAAGTAAGCACCATTCATTACCGGGTACACGTCGTCGTCGAGTTTCCCATCCATCACCCATATTAATACCTCGATCAGGACGTAACAATGCCCAAGGATTACCATAATGTTCATCACTTGCTGCTATAGCACGACCACCATTCTCAAGAGCTAATAAATCAACTTCTTCGTTAAACTTATCTTCGGC